AGCAAAATGAAGAGTCTAGAAGAATGAAAATTCATGAGTCTCAAACCCTAGGACTCTCTTTTATATGAGTCACCAAATGGTCAATCATCCAATGAACATGGGGTTGAAACATGGCATCATCATGAGGGTCCAAAGGAGAAACACGATTTTGCAAATTAAAGGTGCGTTTTTTTAAGGGACCAGCTAACACGTTCAAAAACAGCAATTAAAAGTCAGCTGATCAACTCACGCTACTTTATCATTGTGCCACACCCTTTCATGTGTTTATAAAAACACGTTCCGTCTCCTCACTTTATCCATGGTTAATGCACAATCTCACTTTGGATTCCCATAAACTATAAATTACACCAGAGCATGCTTGACATTTTTGTTTTAGTCATATTACTCGTTTGTTTTCAGTTTTGCTGCACCCTCCTTTATCAAAATTTAGGACCTACCAGGAGAAGAACATAAGCAGATTTAATACGAATGATGCATTAAGAATATCTTTTCTTGTTCTTGCTGTTGTAATACAAGAACATGTACTTGCTTGAATGATTTTTCGATTCTTTGTGTATAAATTGTCTTTAAAGTAGTATATTTCCTTGTAAGCTATCCCCTTTTTTCTTTTTTCCTTTTTTTTGGTGATATCTAATTTCTACGAGCAATGGTTATGATCAGGTATCCAATTGGTTTATAAATGCTCGTGTTCGTCTGTGGAAGCCGATGATAGAGGAAATGTACACGGAGATGAACAGGCGGACAGGTCGCCGGAACAATGAAGGAAATGACAGCAACTGTAGAAATCATATGTTCTTTGAGAATACAAGGTTTAAAATGAATTAACATAAGAAAAAGATATTCTGTAATACATGGAAGTATTATTATTTGCTGAATCTAGTCAAGTTACGACGGTAAAAATCTGTTCAGTGTAACTGAATCAGCTATATAATGATGAATATGTTGTAATTTTTTAGAGCATGTTTGGCAAAGCCTAATCCCCAAAATATGTTTGGATTAAAATTTTATTATTATCTTTTAAGTAAAAGTTACTCTTTTTGAACATTTTTAATTTTTCAGGCAAAAAGTAAATAATGTAAACTTCATCGGTGAAAAATAGTTGTTTATTCTAAAACTTACTTTTATAAGTGTAATTGTATTAATTCGTTGAGTGAAAATGCTAAACAACTATAAATATTTTTTATTTTTTATTTTTATTATTATTATTTATTTTTTTTTTTGTAAATTTCCAAAGTATGGCTTCTCACGTGGAGATTAACTTTATTGTAGTGCATAAACATGGACAAGAAACAATGGGTGTCGAGAAAGATAACTTGGATCCATTGGAAAGAACAAAAGTGAACATTTTTTTTAGTGGAAAGAAAACCAAGTGAGAATTCAACACAACAGTTATGAAAACTTCTCCCACCTTTTATTATTCTTGCCTGCTTTATTGTCATAAACAATTATTATTCAAATAATTTACAGATCACTCGCTAATTCTCAACTAATACTCGTGATTACAAATGAGAAAAAATTGTCTTTTCTTTCTTCTGTTATCTACAATCGTCCCGGAGTTTTCTTGGCACACGACGTTCTTCCAATAACATGTATATTCATCCTCTGCTACATATGATTACAAGAACTTGCTTACCATCTTCACCCAAGACTTATGCAGGAATTCTAGTTTTGATTGGTTTTAACTTCAATCCCATGCTTTCCGGTGAAAAAAGCTCGGGTGAGATGCTAGTAGGACTTGAGGGACTTCTAGGGCTGACACTGTATTGAGATTGCTTGTAGAAACCATAACCCATGAGAAAATATTCCAATGGTATTAACATGGCGTCTGGTTGTTCTTCTGTGACCACTGACCCACATGATTGAACCTGAATAACAGGAGAGGGTACGTTTAAGTAATGTTTGTTCCCTGTCAAAGTGAACAAGAGAGTGATGAAACAGTTAAAGCATACCTCGACTAAGGCACTGAATCTTCTATCTAGCTTTGAAGTCATATGGAGGGCCTCAAAGTGGAAAGGAGAGTTTTCTCCAACGAATATCAAAGATCGACACTGTAGTCTCTTCAAGCCCTCGCTAATGTCCGGTCTCCTGTGAAACAACAGATTATTACCATTAAATCTTTTTAGCTTGTTTTGCATGCCGCATTTGACAGCAACGTACCAAAATAAAGAAAAAGAAAAAAGAAAAAAAAAAAGAAAAAAAGCAAGCTAAAATCAAGAATGCTGTACTGTGTAGCGTTGTTTAATTCCGTGCATTAAACATGCCCTTGGAGTGTAGGCGATAGTTAATCCAATGCAGCTTATGATTGATTATGCATCACGTATTTGGAAAAAAATATCCTAGTCCATGTTTAACAAAAATCTTTTTACCTTTGTAGCAACAACAAATTAGACTTTCAAATGATCAATATGTTCATCTTAAAAATGCCTGCAAAGTCTCGTCATTTATAATAAAAACATCAGGAGAAAGAATATACCCATTAATTGCTTCAAGAAACCGCAGCACATTTGGGGTTTGTCTTTCTCCCAACAACTGCAAGCAAAACAATTTCAGTGAAATTCTCATATCAATCCAACCCTTGCAATCCATCTCGCATCCAAAAATAAAGAAAATAACAAAAGAAGGCACTGACTCTTCTGCATGCTTGAACAACATCCGAATCTGGTACATCTGTGCTGCCACGAACTTCCTGTTGTATCATTGTAAATGTGATGAAAACATTTACCATATACAATGATTTGAATGAAAAAAACGAAATGCACTCCAAAAGAACACCTTGCTAAAGTATCGCATCAGCAAAAGCTCCTTCACCAAACCGCACATGCCACAAATATACAGTAAATTTGACATCACCTGCAAAGGGTTTACCGCGACACAGGAAAAAAATTTATTTCACCTTCTCCTCCCCCAAAGATGTACAAACAATTAATTACCAAGTCCACAAATGCACCAAAGAGATTGGTGGAGGAATGAGTTGAGAAAATTAACCTTATTGCATAACCATTCTGTCCAAGACGGTGCTTTGCATAGAGGGGAAACAAGAATCAAACCCATAACACGACGAGTATATTTCATCTGTGTTGAAGTGGAGTATAACTTCAGCAAAAACTATCGTATGGAATCAAAATACAATCATTCAGCTGCTGGAACTAGGGAAACTTACAGCAAACAGGGTAAGAATATAAGCTCCGGCTGTCACCCCCATGCACATCACGGCATCAAGTCTAAAGGAAAACAGAAAATATATCGCTCCAGGAAAAGAATTGTCAAAAAATCGTTGAATGTCAAAGAATATGAAGGCAAAAAACCATCAAAGAGATAAAGGGTTTAAATAACTAAAATTCAAGGAGGGTTTAAGAAGTAATAACACTGAAATTACCCAAAATAGTCAAGAATCTCAGCAATCTGATCAGTTAAACCATCAACGGATAAAACAGGTTCATCTGGGCTGATGGCAGCAGCTTCTAACTGCAATACTCTTGGATAAGTTTCAGATATAAATTGATGTGAATAGAAGCATTCCGCAAAAAGGCTCATGTCAAAATAATTTTTTCCTGCATAAACAACATCAGGAATCAAGCAATCGGTGTACAGACCTCGTGTCCGGGAGGGCTGAGATGGTAAATACAGAAGTTGTGGATAAGCAGAGAAAATGCTTCTGGACAAAAAAAAAGTCCTTGGAAACAAGACACATCTGTTCAGTGATGCAGACAAACAAGGATTTAGATGTCAACACCATTCCTAAAAAATTCAATCTTCCTTCAAATCAATGAAATGGAAAAAAAGATGCATGGGAAGCAGGGAAGCCAAAAGCGGAACATGCATAAGATGGGTAACTACAAAATTTATGTAGGAATATCAACCTAATAATTAAGAAATACTTCACGTGCTCAGTCTCAAGCATACGGCTCATCGTTTCGAGCTTGAAAATATTACAATTTTAACAACAAAAATTACTTTAGTGAATTCAAACCAAAAACAACTAAATAATGAGAAAAATTTGCTAAGACACTTCCATTCCCCCCAAATGTTAGCCAATATATAGCTCAGTTAAAAAAATGTTACATCGAGATAGGTAATGCAGACTAGAGATGTAATATGATTAATCAAAGTTCAAGACAGCACTTCATGACAAATTAGTATGCTTACAATTTAAAGCTAGATCAGGATAAGTGATTAAAGCCGGCTTGTCCAGGTCTCCAAAAACAGTAACAGAGACATAACCGTGGCTTGTCTTAACAGTATGCTTCTGTAAACAATTAGGCAAAACCATAGTTAGCCAAAATCCTTTACAAAATACGACAAAAACAACAAATAAAACCAATCTTCCACTAGCTATTTCAATTTGATAAAAATTTCTTGTGCCTTATGCTGTAAAAAGGAATAATTTTTCATAAAAGCTAACGCTAGGTATATCTGGTTTCCTAACAGGATTTCCCATTTGCAGTGGTCCCTTGTGAAAAAGTACAGTTAGTTCATCAGTACACTTTCGGAGAGGATTGAAAGGGCAACTTTTTTTTTTTTTTTTTTTTAACTTCATTGCATTAACTAAGAATCAGAGCACATGTGAACAAGCAAAACAGAAGAAGAAAGAATATACTTAATTCTTCATAACTTCAATAATCTGAATAAGTTGCAAACCAATTATAATCTAGAAAAAATTTGCGAAGTAAGATATAGTTTTCATAATTTTCAAAAACTTCCAAAATTATCCACAATCACACTCCGGCCACAATACATTTGAAGACACGCTTGAACCAAGAACGCGCAAGAGCCAAGTCGGTGACATATATTACTATATATCATCTTTTTATGTTGATATAAAGACTCACATTAAGCAAGAGTAACAAATTTAGGGGGAAATGTCATCTATGTATAATCCAACTATGATCGCAGCTCAATCTACAATCAAATGCAATCAAAACAATGGTATAATGAACTATTTTTCGTGGAACCCAAAAAAGAAAAGAATACAATAAAACCTCTTCGATAAATTCATAAAAAGTTAATTTTTCACCTCGTTTATCAGCATAAATTCAAAACTTCTACATTAAATTGAAGTTCATAAAATAACTTTGCACACAAATATAAGCACATACACAGTGTATATATGCATAAAAATGCATGTATAATGTGAGTAAGTTTGACCTTTCCGGGAAGATAAGTGCACTCCACATCGACGGAAACATAGTCGCTGGAGTCCCCCATTGGTCGGTACCTCTCTCTCTCTCTCTCCACTTTCTCTCACTAAAACTCTCGCCCGGATATTCGAGACGCATTGGATTTGGCATCTATAGCTTATATACCAATCCAGTCTACTCTCTTTCTCTCGACACTTTTTTCTTCGGACAAATATATTCTGTACGTATCCAAATGTTTAGTAGATTGAGCTGACTCACAACGTTCACTGAGTCACCGACGCTTTCCTTAACCCGAGACACGATTGAAGTTTAACTACAGTAAGAGGCCGACGGAATTTCTTTCAAAAGACTCAAATGCCCTTGAGACTTCTTTCTATTACTCATCTAGTCCTGTCACTCCTTTTCTATTCGTCTTTTTCTTCTTCTTTTTTTTGATAAACACTTTTTGACCTTAGCTTATTGTCTTGTTTTGTTAATAGTGGAGGAAACCGAATCATAATCCATGCGAAATAATTTAAGATTTGAAATTATATTTGTAGATAAATAAATATTTCAATTGTTGACCCCAATAAACGTTGTCAACAGATACCGGGCCCACCCGCGCACACGTGAGCGAAGGTCCAACACACTAAGACACGTGGACGGTCTACAAAAGATAGATCAAGGGCGTAGGAGTAGCTCCATGATGCGGGACGAAAACGTTCAGAATCCGGCGATATGATCGTAGAGCGATTGTATAATAATTACCAATCGATATTTGAAAATGTATATCTAAATATGTATGGACTCATTTGTGTTGCAAAATAATAAGCAAGAGAGAGTTGAATAAAATATGGTTTCTTATATTGATTCTTGCATTCGCCCTTGTATGGGGTACATGGGGGAGTATTTATAGTGTCACAAGTTAGATCGTGACCTTTGGTTCGGGGTACACGTGACCTTATCCGGTTAGTTTACATGTCAAATTGTAGGCTGATCAGTCGCACCTAGCCTGTTATACATTATTGATTGGCAGAGCCGCCTCTACTAGTGACAAGACTTAACATTTACACTCATGGCAAACGTCCTATCAATCATTCAAGTAAGATCTTTGTGCAGAAGATCTCTTGGGAGAGATGTCTATGGAAGATGTTGCTTTGTGCTATAGATGTTGTCACCTCGGCTAAGGAGCTTCGGCAAACAGGGCCTTGTCCACCTTCAAAGGGCCTCGGCATATGGGCTTCAGAGTTCCTCATGAGGCAAGGATAAATGGGCCTCGATTTGAGGGCTTCGGAATCTGTGGACCTCGGTTTGTGGGCCACGTGGTTCGCTATGGGCCCTGGTGGGTTGCTCAAGTGTGCGAACACGTAACAATAGTCCCCCAAGTCCAAATATAGTCATTTATGTAATGCGAGGACTTTGATGAAGTGAGGCCAGCCAGCTAGTTGAAAGAAATTTTTTTAAAATTTGTATACTCCAAATAATAGTCCCCCAAGTCCAAATATAGATATTAATATCATGGTTGGAGTTAGAGATTTGCTGTTGTCTAAGAAGTGATGAGAATGATGAAGCCTGGGTAACTGAACCTGCGAGGCTTGATAGCTGATTTCTGATGTAGAAGTCGAGGTGGTTGAGGAACCAAATCTACGAAACTTGATGGCTGAATTCTGATGAGGAAGCCGAGGTGGTTGAGGAACCGAACCTACGAGGCTTGATGGCTGAATTCTGATGAGGAAGCCGAGATGGTTGAAAAATCGAACCTACGAGGCTTGATGGCTGAATTCTGATGAGGAAGTCGAGGTGGTTAAGAAACCGAACCTACGAGGCTTGTTGGCTGAATTCTGGTGAGGAAGTCGAGGTGGTTGAGGAATCGAACCTACGAGGCTTGATGGCTAAATTCTGAGGCTCATTGACAATAATTGTTCCTCGACCGTTGTGCCAATGATTTGATATTTTGCGTATATTTTTGAGGAAAAATGGCTGAACCATTACAACTTCCAAGGCGCCTGCTGCCGTCGAATTAAAACCGTAATCATGAGAACAGCTGGAGCTTCTAGATCAAACGCGTTCGAGGAGGAGTGTGGGGGACACGCTTTAATCTGAGGCGTAGGTTTGAAAAACCGTTTGAATTCTACGCCTCGGATTTGATTAGGAATGAAGGGTTCAGATTGGATGGGCTTTGATCAGACGGTTGGGGTTCGTCCTGGCCCTTTATGAAAGGCAAGAGACCCTCATTGTCTTAGATTTTCTACCCTTTGCAATCCAATTTTCTCTTACAAATTTAAAGTTTTTGGGCATCGAAGCTCTTTGTTCCTTGATTTTTCGGCAACATTTCGTCGGCATGGTAATCCCTTAGGTATTTTTTACAGAACATCACTTGTATTGTGTTCTTAGTCGTTTTCTGAAATGGAATCCACCTCGGGTAGGGAATTGGTCACTGATCGATATTAAATGGCACGCCGCAAGTGCACGGGTCGCGATCAAGTAATATAATGGACATTTTAAGTTCCAGTCGATCCCTCAGAGAGTGTTGTTTTCAATTACGAGTGTATTTGTTTCAAATTAACGAAA